TCTAAATGTATATTATATATATATATATGCATATACACACATGTGTATATATTGCGTATGTATATGCGTATCTACATATATGTGTAAACGTATACACATCCGTACGTGTTTTACGGGTGTCTTCCCAAACCACATCTCACCACATCATGATGGCTTGGCTTCCCGTGGTGAGTGATTGGTTGGTTGGTTCGTCTCCTTACATGTACATTTAATACGTGCGTGTATGTATATATATATATACACACGTGTATATATGTATATCCTTTTTCTGGTGTACGCAAGCCCATATTAATTGTCACACAAATCTGTTATGCTCGTTTCCTCTGTGTGCATAAATAACTGCATACACACATGTGTGTTTTGTGGTAGACATTTGTTTGTGCACGTGCTCGTATATAGACTGCTAGTTCTGGTAGCTTTTATGTATCGAGCGGTGCCGAAACATCCAAGAAGAAGCTGGGCAAAAGTACTTTGCACAACACGTATGCACATCCTCTGGCAAATCCAGCACAGCAGAAATCTTGCTGCTGCATCCAACGTCGCCTGGAAAAATCCGAAGCCGTGGGGCTTCCAGCACAGATTTCGGATCGCCAGTGCGCCTACTGCCATTGCCACCAGATGAGTTTGCCCGTAAGCGCCCAAGCTCTCAAAGCCCCAGACCTGATCTTGGCTTAGACACGGAGAGGCTCTAGGTCCTCTAGGTTCTCTGTTGCCGAAAGTGTCACTTGGTTGGATGTCCGGCACGAGTAGGTGTCATGGGGGTGTTGACAAGCGGATTCAGTTTTGCGATGCTTGCATTGTTCAGCTAGATGACTTCAAGCCCACACAGCACATCCGACCTGAGAAGCCTCGCCTCATCCAACTGATAGATGTTTGTCCATCCTTTGGGCTGTTTCTGCCATGGTCTTCTGCAAGCGTGGGCCCCGGCTCTTGCGTTCTTGGCCGTTGCGTCATCTGGGCAAGTGCTGCTCTGAAGCACCGCCTGATACTGGTCCTGGTGTTAACTCGTCGAAATAGTCGTGTCCAAAAAAAAACTTGTCTGCGGGATACCCATCGTCGCTCATGCTGGCAGGCTTGGTTTTTGGCGCTTGCTGTATGATCTGGCATCTCGGGCGCCGCCCTTGGGCATGTATCTTTCCGTTGCCATGGTTCTTTTGCCGGGTTTTCGGGAGACTCCAAAAACCTGCAAGTCTTGCCGAACAACAATCCTGAGCTGAGCACCCGGTTGAAGAACTCCACAGATGCCTCGAGTCGAAGAGCCCCAGCTTGCAGCTTCCACGATCTGGTTGCGCTCTGCCTGACTGACGAAATGCAGTGCAGCAAAGGAACATTGATGACCACCTTCACGAGGCACGCCTCCAGGCGAGTCTTGCGAACGCTGCATGTTGTGGGCCGGCTGTAAGGTGCTTGGATGTCTTTGAAGACTCGGGCTTTTGAGGAAAAAGCAACTGTTGCCAGACCGGCTCGTGGTTGTGGCTGAATGCTTTCATGCAGACCGCTTCAAGTTTTTTGCTCCCGAGTATGCATGCCATTGGAAGAGTGCTGCTGCGACCTTTGGAAGCAACCTTCGGAAGCATCCGCTTTGCTTTTCAAAACACATGAACAAATCGCCTGAAACATGTAGTCCACAAGCCGCACGCAGTCTCCGAGCATCTGGTTGTCCTTTCATTCACAAAGCCGAGAAGTATGAATCGAAAATCACCTACTTCGCCAGTACATGCAGTATATACAAAGATGTGAAGCTCCTCCACTCAGGCTAATTCATGCCCCAGAAACTTTGGGTTGGAACGACAGGACCCAGAGACAGAATGCAGTGCCCTACCACCAAGTCTCCCAAAACCCGGAACCGCGAGCCGGGGGGGGGCCGGAGCTCATGGTACTCCCTGCAGCGAGCGGCGTGGACTGCAAGGCGGTGCCGCCGTGCACTGTCCGAGGCCTCCTTCTTCTCCTCACTCGAAAAGGCCGGCGAAAATCTAAAAACAAATACGCTCTGACAGAGGCCTCTCTGGTCATTCCGTTGCCGTCTACACAGTCCTTATGTTCTGCCAGCAGCAGCCGCAGCAGCAGCAGCAGCAGCAGCAGTAGTAGTAGTAGTAGTACTGGTAGCAGGAGTAGGAGTAGTAGTAGTAGTAGTAGTAGTAGTTGTAGTTGTTGTTGTTGTTGTTGTTGTGGTAGAGGTGGTAGTAGTAGTAGTAGTAGTAGTAGTAGTAGTAGTAGGTGCCCCCACGCTTGCTCAAAACCATCTTAAGAGCACATCCGCTTTACTCGGTATTTACAGCACTTTCGTCATGTACGATCATCACAAGAAGCCTCAAATTCGACTTGCCGAGTTTGCAAACTCGGCCTCTTCATTTTGGACTTGCTTTTGGGGGGTGGGGGGGTGGATGATGACGACAGTGTTACACAAA